TTGTTCACCTAAAGGATGGCTCCCCAGTTACTCCAAGACATACTGCCAGAAATTGCAATGACATTTGCTACATCAGCTCCACTGAGATCTCTCACAAGAAGATTTGAGCTGTGTTTCTCTTCCTATCCTAGAAAATTGCTTCATACAGGAACCATTTTACAGGATACCTTCAAGAAGTCCTAGGAACGTAATACAAAATATCAGCCTGTCTTCAAAGTTGCATAATGTGTCATAACCTCCACTTCACCCAGTTAATGGACCTGCAGGAACATCTTTAGGCACTCCTCCAAGCCATCACCACCACCTTAATCACAGATTAGGGAGTTGAGCCTTATGAGGAAAGGCTGAGGGAGCTGGGTGTCTTTAGCTTGGAGAAGAGGAGACTGAGGGGTGACCTCATTAATGTTTATAAATATGTAAAGGGCAGATATCAGGAGGATGGAGCCAGGCTCTTCTCAGTGATGCCCAATGGTAGGACAAGGGGCAATGGGTGTAAGCTGGAACACAGGAGGTTCCGCTTAAACTTGAGAAGAAACGTCTTTACTGTAAGGGTGACGGAGCACTGGAACAGGCTGCCCAGGGAGGCCCAATCCCTAACATTCTGTGATTCTATGATTCAAATCACTTCACAAGTCACTCCTGGCTACTCCCTTCCCACTGCTGAGGCCAGTGTTCTGCACCTTTTCTTAAATGAACTGCTGTCTAGTGGCATTGTACCTGGGGAAGAGCTCCCTGGGCACTTTATCATCTGATGCATTTTTTCCTATTCCTCATGTATGCAGAGCATTTCCAGACTGGCAGAAGTTGTGCAGTCCTCTGCTGCATCCCTGATGTCTCTGTTTCCCACAGATCCAGAGGAAAACACTGTAGCACTCCTCTGAAGCAGGTTGGATATACTTCTTTGCAGTGAGAGAAAAGAAAACATTGAGAGAAGAAATAACTCCAGCAAAGACAGTACAAGCTCTGCACAAATAGCTTCTCCTGGATTCCTGTGCTGAGCATGTGTATTGGCTGATGGGTTCATTGCACTTACTTTTGTTTTAGAGCAGAAAGAGTGAGCTTTGACAGGAAACTTGGTGCCCTGTGAGGACTGAATCCTTGTGTTTGCAGACCACAGGCATTAGTACAAAGGTACAGGGGAGCATGCCGATTCAGGTGGCCCTTGCGTAGGTGCAGTACAAGCTGTCCCAGCTGTCAGTGACACCAGAGGGATAAACTCTGGTATTCAAGTGCCTTACAGGTGTGTTTGCAGTCTTTGATCCATGCTGGCATCTCTTGCTCAGACAGATGTTTTGCAAACACTTAAGTTCACTGATGTTATACACGGACTTTCTGTGTATCAGCTCTTACGCAGCTAATTGGAGGTGAATTGTCCAATTATTTTTCCCTGCTGCTATTAAGGATACACTCTGTATCTGACAGAAAATCATGTTCATGCTTCCTCCAGTCGTGGTCACTGAGGCAGACTGGGACTCTTTTATGGCAGCTCTGGAAAATACGTTCTTATTCTTTCCAAATTACTTCATAAGAAGAGGCATCAGGTTTCTTGTGGCCCTGTAAACACGTCAGGGCTGAGGCAGAAAGCAGAATTTAGGTTTGTCTGATGCCCTTGCACCCAGAAAATATGTCCTTTTCCAGAGCGTGTGGATTCTTCATGGCAAAGAGAGAAGAGTTCAAGGCAAGATTTTTCCCTGGAAACCAGGGCAGAACTTTGGCTGTTTGTTATGGTGCTTCCTCCCTCCCAGCTAGTGCAGCCACGTTTAAATGCATTGCCTAGAACTGTAAATCCCACCCAGGAGCTGCTCTTGAGCATGGCCCTAAAGTGTCCTTCAGTCAAAACATGTTTATGTGCTAAGTTACTGAGATCACAGCAACCACACCACCCCATCTGCAGCCTGCCTAGCCAAATTATAGCGCTATGTGCTGGTGGGTTGAACATCTGACATACTTTAAAATAAAGGGATGACCAGCCAAGTGGTGGTCAGTGCTGCAGTATGCCTGGGAAAGGGGATGGGTTTGCGTGGCCAGTCCCTTGCCAGTGTCCTGAGCTGGGGGTTACCAGGCAGACAGCCTCCCTCCTGGAGCGATGAGCCACTCTGATCTGCTGGCAGTTGGCTGTGTTGTAGGCAAATGGGGACACTCCTGAGGCTCCCCAGAAAGGGTTTTGACTGGTCTGGGTGCCATTCCCCTGCTGCACTATAGGTTGTCTAGATAACCCTGCAGCATGTCGTTTCCTAGGCAGAGGTCTGGAAGACCTTTGCTCAGGAGGTTTTGGGGCAGAAAGCACAAATGTCTAGCACAGTCTAACTTGCCAGAAACACCCATCTTCCTTTCTCCTGCCAGAGCAGCATGGTCATCCTTTCCTCCATCCCACATCCGCTGTAGGGACGAGAAGCCATTTCATACATCATACTACTGACCAAAAGACTCTCCTTGCAACAGAGGCATCATGATGTTTCTGCAGCATCAGCAACAATTACACCTTGCTTGAAATTTCAGGGGATCCACCGTGAGGCTAAAGCAATTTTTCATTTCAATACGATAGCCTCTACTGCCCAGGGGCTCCAAAGCCCTAGGTGTGAATTGAAAACATCACTCCATCCATTTCAGAGATGTTTCAGTAAGAAGTGTTTCTTTCTTACCCTGGACTGTGTCAAAATGATGGTCTGACCAAAATATTTGGCTGGAAATTGCTTAGCACCTGTAGTCTTTAGAGACACTCCGAGCAAGTTAATCCTCCTGAGAGGCTTTCTTTGAAAGACAGTGATATATTGTTCTGTTAAAAGAATGTTATCTGAAACACGGGATGAGACAAACTGTGTATAAGGAGGAATAAGAGGGAGAGGCCACATGGTGTCTAAGGTCCCTTGCTCTACTCCAAGGACTCCTCATGCTGGCTATGCCTTCACTGTGACTATCCATAAGCACACCCAGTATCGTAGAGATGGGAGAAAAGGTTTTTTAGTCATGTGAAAGCTAATTTCCTGGACAAGGCAGTGGAAGCCTCTTTGCTCCATCTGTATTGGGCTTGAAGACTGTGGTTATCACACTTCATTACAAGCTGAAGCAAAGCAGCACCAAAGAGTTTGCAACCAGCTGGTCGGCAAAGAGGAGAGGCCATAGAGGGAGGAAGTGTGTTTCATAAATGTGGGTAAGGAGTACACATTATGAGCGTGCTGGGAATAAAAACTAGCTTGTACCAGTGAATAGTGCGCCTCAAATTTCAGACCAGTTCCTGTGGGCCCACTTAAAGTTTATTCCAGTTTTTTAGAAGTCGCTGGTTCCAGCAATATCCCCAATGTTTAGGAGCAAGGAATGTTGCCAGACCCTCTAGAGCCATGCCTTCAGAAATACGACGGAATTATTAAGTGCATTTAGCATTCCTGTTTATTGTTAGAGGCGTGATGTCTCAGCTTGTCTGCTGAGTTGCTTTTTTACATGCAACACTCATAAATTCAAAAGGAGCGGGGGGGAGGGAAATGGCCAGAGTTCTGCTTTTTATACTGGACAGGGGTTGTTTGAGCCACTTAGTCTTGGTCACACCTGGCTGCTACACTGCCCCTCACTAACATCTATGGAGAGCTCTTATTAGCACCGTGCTGATGGATGGGCTGTCTGGGAAGGGAGGCGTGATACAGCCTTCAGATACCTTCATTAGAGTGAAGCAGAAAACTTTTGACATTTTTAATGTCTTTTTCTAATAAAGTGAAAACTTTTGACTTGGTTTTGAGCCAGGATGACAAAACAAAACAACTTTTTTATTTACATTTCATATTGTTGGGGGAGGGGAGCATTCAGCTGAAAACTGGTGTGTTTCAGCCATGGGGAAAATTGCCTTCCTACTGTCTCTCCTCTTTTATTGGAACAAATAGACACATAGTAAAAATGTGAGCCAGATGATTTTTTTTTTTTTTTTGTTAGTACTATAAAATAGGGAGCAAAGCCGGCTTCCCCTCATTTTCCTTTACTTCTTTATTCTGTCCTGTCTTTGCCAATTGGAAACAGAACGCAGAGAGTTACTATGTCTCTGGAAACAGCTCTTGCAGGGCTTAACTGCGTTTTCAATGCTTTCCAAATAGAAGAGGTTTTTAGAACCTACATGGTCTTCCTGAAGTTTGGGTCGGGGGGGAAACTGAGAAAATAAATTATTTTTTTCTTCTGTCAAGTTTTCTTGGTGGAGGGAAGAGCTGGGGAGAAATATTCACAGGGGAAATTCTATTGGCCATTTCCCTGCTGACTAATCAATATAAGGGGTATTATACACAAATATGAATAAAAAAGCTAAAACTGCCTGCTCTTTCCCTGTGTTTTATTCTCCAGCACTGCTGTCAGCCTTCCCTTCTCATGAACAACCCATCCTTCTAGAAGTTCTTTATTGTCTGCATAGCATGGGCAGCTAGGAGCAGAGATGATGGAAGGTGTAAGTCTTCTCAGGACACCGTTCAAACCCAAAGCAAACACAGTTTCTCAGTTCAGAAGAGATTCTTCATTAGTGACACTGTAGATGCGGACACTGTTTCTCTAAATCAGTAGCAGAAATACAAGCAGAATAGCAAAACAGGTCTGTAGTGAAAGAGCAAGACAGGTGCTCCAGCTGTGATGATAAAGAGCCTTGCTCAACATCAGAAGCAGTTTCTAATGCCATGCCATATGTTGTTCTCCTTCTTTTACAGAATAAAGATTGGGTATTAAATGAGGTATAGCAAGGAATCATTGATTAGAGTTGTTGCTCTGGAAAAGTTTAGGACAGCATTTGGTTTCCAGTTTGAAAATAAAATAAAAAAGTCACAAGCCTTGAAAGAACTTTCCAATGTGGTTTTCATCTGGTTTGGCAGTTTTCTTCTGCGGAACAGAAAACTGAAAGAAGATAGGAATTATGAAAACACACTGTGACCCGGATAGAAATTCTTCAGCAAAAAGGGAAACACAGAGAAAAACAGTGTGCAATGAAAGCCAAAAATCTTTTTTAACCATGTCTGTCGCTCTTGTTTCTTCTGCAGGGCCAAATACTTCCAGGGGAAGAAGGTGAATGGAGAATTTGATATCCGAGTGGAACAGGTCAGTGACATCTGAATTTGGCTCTAAGAAATGTGTGTGGGCAGGGCTGAGTTCTTAATGACAGATAATCCATATATATTCTTCAAGAGAAGAAATGAACTAATGAGGAGTTTTAAGACCTGTCCATTTTATAGAATTGTGGAAGCCATCAATGAAAATATCTTATTGGCCCATGCCTTCATCCTCCCCACCTTTGCAGAATCAGTCATTATTTCACCTTAAAATGAACTTTTCTCTTCTGGTGATAGGTCTATTATTTCTTCCATTTGAAGACTACCTCACAGTTCTATACGTGTGCCTGAAACGGTGCAAAGCCAGTATGCCACAGTATGTGTTGGTAACATTATGTTCCACATGTAAGCTATAAAAGTCTTCTAACTTACCCTGATTTAAGCATAAAACATTTGGTTTAAGTATGCAAAATAACTGTATGGCAAAATATTTTTGTCTGTTGAAAGTCCATAGGAAGAGGAAGGAGGCTTATGACCAGTTTTATGATGTGCTCTGCAGAGCACTGGACAAACTCTGTTTCTCTGTTAGCCTTGGCACTAGCCATTCATTCATTTGAAAACTCTTTATGTTGGAGGCTGTTCCTTCCTCCCTGTGTTGGTGCAGTGTCTGTCAAAATGCATTCCCAGTATTGACTGAGACTTTGGGTGCTGTTGTCAAAGTGGAAACAATTATTAATAATAATCTGCAGGCACCTGAAGGCAGGCATAAAGAGAGATACAGACAGAGATGAGTGGGTGATCTTGAAGGAATCGTATACTCTTTTTGTACTCATTAGTACAATAAAATTGCTTGGATGGATGAAGAAAGCTGGTGAATGTTGTTTGAATGACCTGATATTTTCTGTCTTAATGAAGCTGGTGATTCTACATCATGCACACGTATGTGTGTGCACATGTGCACGTGTGTGTGTGTGTATGTATGTGTATAGAAGTATCAATGCAGTGGTTTTGAAGACTTTCCCAGGACTTATTACCCTTGACAGTGTTCCTTCTCTTTTCAAAGAGGTACTGTCCAGTTGCCTACATGAGCCCACAAGTTCTGAACAAAGGCTGTGGACGGGACAGAAAAGTTAGCAAGTCTTTTTTTTACAACTGTGATACTATGAACACTTCATTTTTCCTCTTTTTATTGGTATCACACTTGTTAGTACTGGCTGGTATTAAGAACAATTCTCACTTACACTTCCCTCTCAAAGTCTTTATTTTGATGCCTGCCTCAGGAAATGTCCTAAAAGAGAATAGGAAAAAGAAAAAAAAAAAAATCACATTTCTCACATAGAAGCATGGAATCAAATAATAATTCCTATTTGCCATTCAAACCTGTGATCCAACCCTCTCTGCCACTCAAAGCAGGGTCATCTTCAAAGCTAGACCTGGTATCTTCAAAATGACCTATTAATTCTTTCCTAAACCTCTGGCCTCTGCCTTTCCCCTCATAGTCCTTCTTCTCAAAGGTTATTGCACTTGAGGTCCTTATAAAGAGACTATCTTCAAATGGTTGATGAGTGGAGAAGGGCAGAAGTGGGCTCTTGATCCCTGATGGGTTAAACTCAGTAATGACCCTTGTCATCATCACTAGGTAGATTATCACATTTCCCCAAGGACTCTTTCACAGGGACTCTCCTAGTCTGCCTCTTCATACCCTTCACATATTCTGAATGTCCCTGTTTGAGAAGAGGCAGCAAATTGCCCAAAGCAAAGACTGAAAGGCTGGTATGGCTTTCCTGGAGAGGACTATTGCCAGGCCATTTGCAACCTTCTTTAAGTACTCAGCGTAGTGAGTGCAACATTCTCCAAGGCAATGAAGTGCACAGTGGGTGGGAGAGTTGAGGAGCAATGAACAAGGGTTCCTCACCCCCTCCCAGCCCCTCAGATCAGGAAACTGAGTATCCACATAGCAGAAGTGGAACTCTAGACTCCCCCAGACCTCAAAAGAAGAAGGGATGATCACCTTCCCCAGCTGGATTCACTATCTATCAGGGGAAACACAGAAGCTGCATTGTCACAGGCAGTCCTTAAATCTGACATCAGGCCCCTCTGTGTATCACTGAGGCCAAGACAGGGGCACATCTTTCTTCAAAATCTGGCTTTTTGTCCCTTTCTTGTTTTGCCCATCCATCCTTACTCGGTATTTCTTGGTATTTAATTTTCCTCCATTGCTCCTTCCCTGATTATCTGGAGCCTTCCTCACTTCTTCATCTTCTTCCTCAAGCACAATCTAGGAGCCTAAACAGTTGTGGAACAGGTCCTGTGAAGCTGAATGCAGACACTCTCAACCTGAAAAATGAATGTTCTTCCACAATTTTATTGCCAAAAAAAAAAAAAAAAAAAAAAAGGAACAGGAAAGAACTGTGTTTACCAGCCTGCTCCACGTGTTGCTTTTTGAGTTCCTGGCTCACCAGTCTTCACTATTATAACTGTCCTGTGAACAACACACAGAGTGTGCCATGGTGCACAAGCCCTACGCTGGCCGCTCAGTTCTGAATAAACTCGGCAGCAGATCAAAGTGTGACTCTCGAGCACCCCTTGAGCCACTTGGTCTGCTCAGTAAGTTCATTTAGTTTTTCAGTTTTCCATTTGATCCTGCTTCAGATAACCACACATTATCGCCTCAACCAGAAATAGAATTTGCCTTAGGAAATTTTTTTATATTTTATAGGAAAAACATTTTTTATCTGAGAAGCCAAGTAATAAAAATGTTTGAATGGCAGGAAGCAGTGAAAGGAGATATCCAAATGTTAAATACTCTTGAAAAACCTCATTGGGAAGAAGGAACTGCTCTATTTTTACTGACAATGCTAATTTTTTTTGCCATTCTTCCAGGATGTTCTGTAGTTGGTTTAAGCTAAAGGAAGAGTTTGTCTTTTTGTTTTTTCTGTTGCTCTTTCATCTCCATCTCTATTACATCTTAATTCTTTCTTAGCAAGCCATTTCAGCAATCTTTGGGGGAAGCAGAGCAGGATAGTAGGTGATATTTTTTTCAAAAGTCATGACTTCACTTATTTGTAATGGAGCAGGAGTGCTGAAAGCAGCACTGTTTCTCCCTCTCTCAGCAGCGGGAAGTCAGTTATCTAATCTGGTTATACACCCCTACCAGCTCTCAAAGCTGCCTCTCCCCCTTGGCTGTCATCCGAGGAATGCAAGATGTATGTGATCATGCTGTCTCGCTCCGTCTATCCTCCACACCCAACACTGTGGAAGGCATTGGCTGATTTCAGCTGAATTGGAGAAACAGGCAGAAGTTTCAAGATACTAAGTTTCTACAGGAGGTGAATTCAATTGGTATTAGACACTGGAAAATCTGCAGGGAAGAGACTGTTAAATGCCATCCTGCTTCTCAGGGAGCTGCTTCTGTAAGTCTCTGCTTGTGTGAAAATAGGTTTTCTGGACTCTTGAAGAAGGTTTTCTGTTTTTTTAACACAGAAATTAGTCACAAGACCTTGATACCACCCCCAAGCCCTTCTTCTTCAGCTAGGTCCATTACCACCAACAAGAGACAAGAGACACTGTGGGCACCACATGGTGCCAGGCAATAGGAGAGAGAGTTGTCAGGGACACTGAGGTGGGTACACCCTCCCTAGCCTCTGCTGTCTCCTGTCATTCATTAAAGTGAATGAGGCCTGACTTCATTTCCATCTTTGTTTCTTCTCTTCTGATCTCCAGCGTAACACCCAAAACATATTTATTAATGTGGTTTAGAGGCTGTGGTATTTATTATTGCCCACCCTTGACTGAAACTCAGGCATTCAATGCCACTGCCTCCTCCCTGCTGGTTACTTGTACAGAGGTGTGGGTCTGAGGGAGGGCTGGGGAAGTGGGAAGCAAGTGCAAGTGCTGCCTTGAAGCAGGGCCCCTCTTTCTTTGGAGGCAGTTTGGATTACATTTTGATTATTTGGATATTTTTTCACTACAAGTCCTTCTGTAGCAATGATAGTCATTCATAAGTCTGAATGAAACACTGATCTAAAAGTGAAAATGTATTTGATCTAGTGCCATTAAAACCCTGATGGCTTAGGTTTTACTCAGTGTGGGCAAACCCCTAAGCTTTCAGAAGCAGGTGAGTCTAAAAGTGTTATCACTATTTTATGCCAAAAATGAGGTTCTTAGATTTTTATCTATGCTATTGCTTTTATTTGCTTTGTGATTTCTAGCTTTTAGAACTGCAGTGTATATATATCCAGTTCTTTTCTCTAGAAATACAAACACCAGAGAAATTATTTTAGAAATTAAAAGAGTAAGTTTGATTAAGTGGCTCTAAGGCCTAGCTGAGCTTAAAGAAGAATCTTAGTGCCACAGGAGTTGACCACATTGTTTTTAGTCTCTCTCCCAAAATTAGTTTTGTTTTTGTCTTCTCAGTCCTTCACTGACCAGAGGACAGGAGGCATTAGGAAACAACGTATATTCAGGAAGAGGAGGAATTGTACCATAAGTCTTATGCTCTGTCAAATGTTTTCCGTCACTAAAGGCAACTGGTAGGAACTCAGCACCTCCTTCCCCACCCTCTCTGCTCCATCCCAGAGAAAACTAAGCCTTGCATGCTCCAAGTATTTTGTGTGACTCTGAAATTATAACATACCCCAGGTGGGGGTCTCCTTGAGCATCAGGCATACCCCATACACAAGGAGGTAGCTGCGTGGCCATGTATCCCAGGTACAAGTAGAAGAGGGCAGGAGAGCCAGGACTGAGATCCAAACAACCACAGACACTGCAGGCAGTGGCCAGATGAGTGGGACATTTGCCACCTGTCTGGGAGAGAGATGCCCCCAAGCAGAAGGTGTGCAGAGAGGGGTCATTGTGGTGACCAGGAAGACCTGACTTATGAAAGGAGGCTGAAAGAGTTGAGTTTGCTTATCCTGCCAAAACAGAGGCTAAAGGAGACATGTCTGCTTTTAATAAATACACCTGTTTAAGAAAGGGTTTTGTGACATCATGCCTGCAGTAGCAAGGGGTTAGACCCTATGGCTCTGGTGGGCTTCTCCAGTCCCGTGC